AGGACTAAACCAGAACTAAAACCAGGACTAAAGCAGATCTAAACCAGAACTAAAAACAGGACTAAAGCAGATCTAAACCGGGACTAAAACCAGTTCTAAACCAGGTCAAAAACCAGGTCTAAACAGGTAATAAACAAGGAACAAAACCAGGACTAAAACAGGATTTAACCAGAACTAAACCAGGACTAAACCACGACTAAACCCAGTGTAAAACCAGGTCCAATCCAGGTCCAAAACCAGGACTAAACCAGCAATAAAACCAGGAATAAAACAGGATTTAACCAGGACTAAACCAGGACCAAACCAGGTCTAAAACCAGGTCCAAATCAGGTCCAAAACCAGGACTAAACCAGGACTAAACTGTACATAAAACTGGTCCGCGGCTCTAAAAAGGTTGGGGACCACTGCTCTATCCAGTTATTTTATTTTTCTGCTTTTGCCAAAATTCCGGATTGTTCCTTTAAGTTATATAAGAAAGAGCGTTGCTATTAGCATGTTAGCAGGCTAGTTGTTTTTAGCTTCATTGGTTATCAACTAGGGACGATTCTCAAAAGAAGACGACTTATCACGTATAGACTACATTAAAGCAGGGAGATAATAGTGTTATTTTATGGAAAAGTTTTATGTAGCAGATTATTTTTAATAGTCACATCTCTATTATAAATTCATTGCAGTGATTTATGAGGCAGTTAAGAACGCGTTAACAAAGTGAGAAATAACATCGGACGGCTGGAGACCGATTAAAATCAGCTCGTTCTGTTTTTCACGTTTTTATCTTGACAAGACTTTGCTTTAGTTTTTCCTGACGCTGACTGCTGCGCGCGGTAGAAGAATCTTGCTGGCAGCGTTCTCCACCGCTGTTGCATCCTCACAAAACACTATTATAAACGTCTTTTAAAAATACCAAAAAGTATCTTGACTCGACTTGTTCTCAGTTGCACTCACATTTAGAACAGCGGTGGATAATAGCGCAGTTCGACCTTGTAGCTTTCTTGTACGTGTCATGTGTGAATGCAAAATGCCCGGGAATCCACCATTAGTGAATTCTCTGCTGCAACTTCACAACTCCGGGCCCGTGTTCGGTCAAGGAGGAGCAGTTCAGCCATTATTTTTGTTTCTATTTTCTTTAAACTTGCGGTTTGTGCAATAGTGCGGAGTGTAATGAAGGTACTGTAACTGTCAAATGCAAAAAATGAAAACCACATGCACAGTTTGGTTTAAATGCAGTGTAAGATTTTTCAATGTGGAGAAAAATGTTTGTTGTAGTTAAAGATGCGCTGTGTAACATTCTACCACCTGCTTGTCTCCATGGAGATGATATTGCCAGTGGTGGAAAGGGTCCTGAAAATGTTAGTTACTTGACTAATAATTAGTGATGGGCGAATGGAGCCTCGTGAAGCAGTGACACCTCAGTCGCAATATTGTCTCAAATGGTTCGACGTGTCTGAGGCCTTGGAGAAACACTGACCTCTAGTGGACAAATTTAACCATTGGCACACAGGTGTCTCAGCATCGATGAAGTATTGTTAGTGTAAGACAATACTTGTGTGCAGAGCGACACAGTACCTAACAACAACAATAATAATGATGATTTAAAATAATATGTAAAGAGCAACATAAATAGCTGCTGTAAATAAGAAAATAGGTTAACTTGTTAGATGGAATTAGATCAAAGTCCCAAACCATGAATCGCTTTTTTCCACTTGTAGATGCCATCGAAAATGAAACAAATACCAACAGTCGCCAAAATCACCACTAACGTCACACAATACTCCTCACTACCCAACATTTTTAAGAAATATTGGTGCATCTTTTATACTGTAGCAGTTTAGCGCTTGTCAAACCACAGAAGTGCGCTGAACACTCTGAAACACTCTGAACCAATCGCAGAGCGGAACATTCGCTGAGCCAATGAAACGCTTCGATACACTGAAGCGATTGACACACAGAGCGAAGCAGTAGGGGGAGGGGCCGACACTTCGACACTTTGGTCACGTGAGCGGCTGCTGTGAGACGAGCTCCGAGGCAGTGCTTCAGAGCAATTAGTTTCAGAAAGAACGAGACGTGCTCCGGAGCTCCGACTCATTTGGCCTTCACTACTAATAATGTACTCAATTACAAGTATGAGTACTGCTTCTGAAATGGAACTTAAGTAAAAAATATGGAGGATCAATACTACGCAGAGTACAAGTTACTACTTCCTTTTACGGTATTGAAAGATGCAGAAACAGCTCACTCCAAACTTGTTCACTACTGAGTAAATTTCATTAGGGCTCCATCGTTGATCTATTGTTTGGGCAATATTATAGGCTGATATGTGCACTTGGAGACACATCAGCTATTGGCCTAAATCTTGCCATTATGGGCCAATAGTCCACGTGGACATGTTATACCTAGTGATGGGCAAATGAGTCGGAGCTCCGGAGCACGTCTCGTTCTTTCTGAAACAAATTGCTCTGAAGCACTGCCTCGGAGCTCGTCTCACAGCAGCCGCTCACGTGACCAAAGTGTCGAAGTGTCGGCCCCTCCCCCTACTGCTTCGCTCTGTGTGTCAATCGCTTCAGTGTATCGAAGCGTTTCATTGGCTCAGCGAATGTTCCGCTCTGCGATTGGTTCAGAGTGTTTCAGAGTGTTCAGCGCACTTCTGTGGTTTGACAAGCGCTAAACTGCTACAGTATAAAAGATGCACCAATATTTCTTAAAAATGTTGGGTAGTGAGGAGTATTGTGTGACGTTAGTGGTGATTTTGGCGACTGTTGGTATTTGTTTCATTTTCGATGGCATCTACAAGTGGAAAAAAGCGATTCATGGTTTGGGACTTTGATCTAATTCCATCTAACAAGTTAACCTATTTTCTTATTTACAGCAGCTATTTATGTTGCTCTTGACATATTATTTTAAATCATCATTATTATTGTTGTTGTTAGGTACTGTGTCGCTCTGCACACAAGTATTGTCTTACACTAACAATACTTCATCGATGCTGAAACACCTGTGTGCCAATGGTTAAATTTGTTCACTAGAGGTCAGTGTTTCTCCGAGTCCTCAGACACGTCGAACCATTTGAGACAATATTGCAACTGAGGTGTCAATGCTTCACGAGACTTCATTCGCCCATCACTAGTTATACCTTGTTATGAAACTTAGACTCTATATCAGGAGTCTCCAACCTGCATCTCGGAATCTACTGGTAGCTCTCCACACCCTTCCAAGTAGCTCACCAAGAGATTTTGGAATCATACCATTGTGCTGAATAACAAAAATTTGGTTAATTACACGCCTATTCCTATTGTAAATGTATCATTTTGAAGCCCAATTTTGTGCACTAATAAATGGACAATGGTTTATGTTTTGTAGGGATCTAACTGTACCCCAAAGCTTGCACACTTGCTTATAATCATCTAAATTTCTTATGGTTGCTAAAATTTGTAACTCTCTGGCATTTTTGTTTTAGTAGCTCAACAGAGGAAAAATGTTGGAGACTCCTGATCTATATTATGTCCATTTAATCCAATTTACAGACAGATAAATGTCCTGATATGTGACGCCGCATCAATATTTATCTATGGAGTAATTTGTCTGTGTCTGTGACGCTGTACTTCCTCCGAACGCACCCCCAGAGTCACTCATGTGCGCTTGTTTACACCCATGCACAGCCATAGATCCATGTGCTCAACTTTGAGGTGGTGCTTTAAACGCTCTTGTGTCTGATCCATGATACTGACGATAAATAAAAGTGAACTTCAGCGCAGTTTAGGCCAGAAACATACCTACTGCTTGTTTTTTTGTTTTTTGTGAGTGCAGAGCAGAGAGAACTGTTCCATAGACGGAGGACATAAACTGTCAATATGCTGGATTATATTATTTTTAAGGACGATCAGTTTGAGCCAGGATTAAAATGACACTTATTAGTGAAGACTTGTGATCTGAGAGGAGCCTGTGTGAGCAGTGAGTGTTACAAATGTGTTGGATTTGAAGCTACTCCGTGAACTCCCACACATAAACAGCCTGTTTTCTCTGACACTGGCCTTGTGTAAAGTGACTATAGTGGCTGTATACACATTACTTGAAACTGCACTAATATGTAAATGAGCTGTGAACAGAGGTGTGAATGATCTGCTTATAATTACCACACATTTACCGCTAAAGACTAATAGCGGTATTTTACTTACTTTCTTTACTGGCTAGAATATCAAGCAAAAAAAAAAAAAAAAATGCCATTAGGCCGACCTACTGTCTTTAAATATGACTCTAAAGAAGAAGAAATGTAGCCTAAACAAACCTAATTTAAAATTCAGTAGAGCCAAACTTGAGTTTTATAATCAATTGAAGATTTACAGTGAATTTTTACATCACTAAATGTTTCGGCTTTAATATTGACTGTCAGCACCTTCAACTCCCATTTTATCTGTATCACATTGGCCGCAAAAAAATCCATATCGGTCAGGCCCTAACTTCTATCATTTAAAATATTACATGATTATGAATGACATTTTTTTGTTTATATTTTTTTGGTTCAAGTTTAAAAAAAAATCTACTGGTTACTTTCCACCCTTGGTTGTTGCTTTGGCCTAGTTTGTCATTGAATTTATCTACAAGCTGATGCTGCCAGACTAAGTCACATGTAAGATCTGTGAGGAGGCAATCCAATTCACAGTAAGAATGGATTTTGAGGTATGTTTGTTTTTTTTTAGCACTAGAGACATCTTTAATCCTTTAAATGCAAGATTGATAGGTTTAATGCCATACTGTGGAGCATTCCGAGCAAAGCATGTGACACTTCTTCACCAGTCAAGACAACATTTGACTTTAGGATGTGCAATATGTATTCTGTCACAGTGTTAGCCAATCAAAACAGAGTAAAAACCTTCGTTACCATGGCAGCAGAAGTCCAAACTTACATTGATCTCTTAAATGCACAAAAGAACAGGTAAATTCAGGTAGACTTTTGCTTGTACATGACCTGACCTCTTTTTTTTCTTCTTCGTCTTTTTCTCCAGGGTGTAGCGGACACGTCGCGTTGGTCCGGCCCATCATGCCCGTTGTCTTGACGACAGACAGGAAGTGAACGCGTGAAGCTGCTGGGGCCACCTGCTGGGATGAACATGCCACTGCACCAGATCTCGGTCATTCCCCGAGAGGTCTCCATGTCCAGGGTCACAGGCAGCAGCAAGGCCAAAGACAAAGACAAGCAGGTAGGAGCTGGTGTGGGTCAAAACGGCTTTATCTGCAAAGTTTGAGTCTGGATATTTACCTGTTTTCAGTACGGCTGTAGTTATTTAGCAGGTAAATCCGCAGATGGGGTCTTAAAGGCGTGCCTGGTAGAGCATTGTTGGGTTGCAAGAGATTTTTTTTGGGTCGCCTTGTCACGATCTGCATGTAGATCTGCAATATACAGTTCAATTCCTGTATCATTCGTTCATTCATTTTTCAATATAAAACCAAAAATAAAAAAACTAAAAAACTACTATTTTCTTCATTATTTGTCTTCAGAACCAAAATGGAAAAAAACGGATAACAATTAGTTTTTTCAGTTTTCGATTTTGTGTTTAAATTAATAATAGAAAAAAATGGATAACAGCCGTTTCCTGTTTACGTGACTTCTGTGACTGCGATGCCGGACTGAACCAGGACTGAACCAAGGCCAAACCAGGTCTGGGACCACACCGAGACTGAGACCAAGACTTAGACTGGGAACAGGACCAGGACTGAGACCGGGACCAGACCAGGACCAGACCGTGATTGAAACCGGGACCACACCGGGACCAGACCAGGACTGAAAACGGTTTAGTCCTGGTTTAATCCTGTTTTAGTCCTGATTCAGTCCTGGTTTAGTCCTGGTTTAGTCCTGCAACACAGTTTAAGTCACGTAAACGGGAAACAGCCATTATCCGTTTTTTCCATTATTCATTTAAACATAAAATCAATACATGAAAAAATGAATCGTTATCCGTTTTTCCATTTTGGTTTTGGAGACAAATAAAGAAGAAAACTATTGTTTTTTTGTTATACTGAAAAACAAATGAACGAATGATACATAGATTCAGTTCTGACACATTAGAGCGCTAGTGAGTCAAGTGAATCCTATCTGCCTGCTCTGCAGCTAAAGTTGAGAAATACTGCTTGGTTGTATAAAAAAAGGGTGATAAATCAGCAAAGCTTAGTGCACTTCAGGATATGTATGAATACCTTTTATTGCTGGTTCAATTATTAGTCATTTTTCAGAGAGACACGATCACTCAGTCAACATTAAAATATCCTCATTAATGTTCAATAATGGTCAACCCCTCGTTTATTTTGCGATTTACCAATGTCTTTTGACTTGGTTCGCAAAGGTTTGTGACTTTTAAAATATGGGTCCCCAGAAAAAAAAGTTTGGGAAACACTGGTGTGGAGGTTCCACCATCTGCTTGTCTCCATGGAGATGTTGTTGCTTTGTCTGGAATATCCCACTATGGCATTAAACTTATCAATTTCGCATTTACTCAATAACATGGGTTTTCATTGACTTAAAAACTTGCATTGTTACTGTGAATAGATTTGCCTCTTCACAGTGTAGTGCCATACTGAGGAACATTCCAGGCATCATCTATAGAGAGGGAAGCAGATGATGGACCCTTCACCAGAAAAGTTACACAACGCAACTTTAATTTACCCATTTTTCTTTTGGTCTACTAATCATTTTATTTGGCTTCTAAGGATTTTTGTGCACAAGAGCGGGAAGTGTATGGAGTGTTCTGGGAGTGATTTGACAGTTTAATCTGCCTTTTCATTTATGAACCTCTTAGGGGCCCAGAATTGAAACCTCAGCTTATTAATTACTATTAGAGGGGCCCATGTGAGACTTCTTGCCGTGGGCCCCCAATTTTCTGTTGACGAGCCTGCTTAGCTGTACACACGGTTGTCTTTGTGAGTTATTCATTAGTCAGGCATGTCTTTAGTTGTCAAATAATGTCTGTAATCGACCACAGTCCCAGTTCTGTTAAAGGTGCACTATGTAACTTTTTGGTTGGGGGTTTCGTCACTTGCTCTTTTCTACGGATATGTTTTTGCTCTGCCTGGAATGTTCTAGCCACCTAGTTTCTCCCCTCAATTTCATTTCTCTCCAGCGACTAGGTCAGGAATTAAAATACATGGTTCGTAGAATGGTTCGCGAAGAATTTACCCCAGAAGTGCGAATTCGCAGGCAAATACACAGCACAAAATTACAGAACAATGAAGAGGATTTAAAAAGCCAGAACAAAGAGAATGTTTGGTGAATTTTATCGTCAGAGGGGAAAGACGTTATATGCCCTTCTTCCTACGGGCCTTATGTTTGACACCTGTGTCCTACGGGGTTTGAGAAAAGCTTAATATACCAGTTAGTTAGTTAGTGGCGCGTTACATATGTCATGACCAAATAGCAGCGATTGGTTAAAGCTACTGTCGAGCGAACGAATCCTAATGCTGTGAGATCAGACGGTTTCTACGAAGTGAAACTGGCTGATGAATCAGGCTAGGAATGTTCCACAGTATGACATTAAACAGCTATAACTTACTTTTATACAGTTATAAGTGTTTTTTATAGGTAAAAAAATACCTAGAAAAACAGGCGTTCTGACTGTGAGTGGGGTCGCCTCTCCTCAGATCTGACCTGTAACTCTGCCTGATTTGGTCTCCATGAAGATAGAAAGGTTTAACGCCATACTATGAAACATTCCAGACAAAGCAATAACATCTCCATGGAGAAAAACATTTGAACGGAGCCGGAATCTGCTCAAAATGCTTTAAAAAGTGAGAGACAAAAGTATTTTTTTAATGTTCAATATTATTCATGTGCAGACAACATTTCTCTATTCCAACTGTGAACAGCTTTTCACCATCAGCAGGTCGAGACCTCAATTCTGAAATGGTGTTTTGATGTTAAAATGTGAGTTCATTTCATTGTTGTCATTTAATTAGTTACCTTTTTTCCTTTTACCAAAATTTCCGTCCATTGGCTTTGGTGGATTTAGTAAGACTTGTATTTTAACCGTAGTCATTTTATTTAGCATTTTATTTCTCTATGTGCAGTACTATAGGATTCCTTCATATGAAATGTGCTTTTGAAAGTCCGTGTAGTTGGGCGTCTGACCTTTAACCTTCACTTCAGAGCTTTAGACAGATCATACGGCTCCCTGTGATTGCTGTTTAAAAACCGTTTTCTTTTACATCAAGCCATCTTTATGAAATGAATGGGCAATTTTGCTGAGTTTTACAGTGTGTTGGTGCAGAGAAACTCAACTGTGGTGAGCTATACATCCATTTAGCATTTAAAAAAAAAAAAATCTTTCTGATAAATAGAGCATGGTCTTTTGTGTTTGAAGGCTTTTGAATACGTTATAGGTACAGTTTGGCAAAAATGTAAGCAATAAAATCAGTTTCTAAAACGTAATAGATTTTCATGTTGAACTGTTTTGCATAAAGCCTGATAATAGTTGTAACCCCTACAGACATGTTGTGAAATGATCCAAAAACCTTCATTTTGTCTTCTTTTGTACATTAACTTTGTGTATCATGTGTGTCGTGTAATTTTTCTGGTAGCGGGCCCGTCAGTTGCTTGTTTCCATGGAGATGTTATTACTTTGCCTGCTGTGTTCTAAAGTATGGCATTAAATTTAAATCAATCCATCAGCACTGGCTTCCTGTGAGCTTCAGAACAGACTCTTGCATGGGTCCATTTTTGGAGACCAGCACCCACAGAGTACAGGACCACACCCGCCCGGACCCATGATTTTGTCAAAGTTAATCCCACACCCGCCCTGGGACCTGGGATAAATCACACACAAATTATAAGCATTCTAAATTACGACTTCAAGTATTACAGTTACGAAATGAAACAGTTATACTTTCTTCATTACGAATACAAATTCACAGATACGACTCGACTGTCATCACTTCACAGGCTTTATTTACTGAGCAGAAGAAACATTGATCGAGATGCCGGACTTTTGCGCTACATATGCCACAGACTAAACCAGGACTAAACTAGGACCAGACCCGAATTAAACCAGGACTCACTATCGGGACTGGCTCGGAGGTGCGCCCGCGCAGACTGTGAACGCAGGTGAAAGGACCGGCTTACAGCTCCACACCCCATGGAGGAAAGCGCAGCCATTGCCCCATCACGCTTTGTGGCTACCTGGTTTAGACCTGGTTTAGACCTGGTTTAGACCTGGTTTAGACCTGGTTTAGACCTGGTTTAGACCTGGTTTAGACCTGATGTAGTCCTGGTTTAGACCTGGTTTTAGACCTGGTTTAGTCCTGGTTTTAGACCTGGTTTAGTCCTGGTGTAGTCCTGATGTAGTCCTGGTTTAGTCCTGGTTTAGTCCTGGTTTAGTCCTGGTTTAGACCTGGTTTAGACCTGATTTAGACCTGATTTAGACCTGGTATAGTCCTGGTTTAGTCATGGTTCAGTCCTGATGTAGTCCTGGTTTAGACCTGGTTTAGACCTGGTTTAGACCTGGTTTAGACCTGGTTTAGACCTGGTTTAGCCTGGTTTAGTAAATTTCAAATGTATAAAAAGTGCTATACAAATAAGTGAGATCTGAGCAATGAAAAGTTACACAATGCACCTTTTAAATTTGAATAATCGTAATTTGTATCCCATTATAATCAGCGTGCATGTCACTAATGAAACTACTGCACATCGCGTCAGGTTTGTGAAGTTGTAGTGTACAGTTTAGTATCAGGTTTTTGTATATTTATGGTGAGTTGTTGTGTGGGATCATGGGTGACGTAGACTTGCTGGACAAAATAAAGCCTGGGAAAGATCACTAAATGACTCAAACATGCATGTACGACGTCTAAAACCTCTTTAGGCATGTGTTTGATGAGGGAACAACATTATAACATGGTAGAAAGCATAATACCCCCTTTTTCAAACACCCGCTAGTTGCAGCCCTGTAATTCAGCTGTGAGTATTTCTTTGTTCTCTAAAACTATTGTCATGAATCCGTTTAAAAACATTCCCACAGAAACCCAATCCCTCACCATCCCTAAGTTATTACGCAAGGGCCTGGTTTAAAAGCGCCTCTAGTTAGTCTTAATACTCGTTTGGTTTTCCTGATGGGAGCTTGTTGGAGCTGTGAGCGTCCATCTCTGTGGGCCCAAGGGGTTAACTATCCCTCAGCCCCGGCTTTGCTTCGTTAAAAGATAAAAACTCCCTCTGCGTCAA